GGCGGTTTGGCTACTCGCAGTCGCACGCAGAAGATAATGAGTTTGATTCCCGAGGAGGAAAACAACCTTTATTGCATGGTATTGTGGTGGACTGCAGCGTTATTGACCTAGGTCTCAATCACCACCGAGGCTTGTTTTGTTTTGTTTCTGTTTTTGTTTTGTTTTGGGGTTTTTTGTTTTTTAACTTAGGGAATCTTAAGAGTTTTACCTCTTTCCTCCGACACAATCCAGTCTTTTTACATGTAGGTATGTAGGTATTTGGCTCCCCCATAGACCCAAATTAGATCAATCAAGAGGAAGAGTTCGACCTTGCCCGTCAAGCAGGGTCATCCTTGGATGCCCCCCCCCCCCCTTCCCCCCAGGGCAATGCCACAGACAGAAGTGTCTTTAGGCCATTCTCGAAGGGGGATATTAACATGTGCGTATGCACAGTAGAATTGTAAATGGGCTGACTTATCAATGTCTTGCTAATACTGTGCCGAAACAACATAAGGAGAACTGCTGCTTTTTCTTTCCGCATCCGTACGATCGTCATTTTTCCTCTACTTCTTTTGTACGTTTGTCACTCTCTTGTGAACTGCTATTTCCGGGGTGCCTTGATAGTGGGAAGCAGACTCTATGCTGTTGAGGCTAGAGAGGTGAGCAGAGAAAGCCTGATTCCCTGTTTGGAATTCACTGTTAGCATCCACCCCTTGGCACTCATATTATAACCGTATGCAGTTGCGAGTGCCGAAAAAAGCCTTACTTTAGAAAAAAAATAGGATGAAAGGGATACAACGTCACCGCAGAAAGACCGAAACACTTAATCGAACATTTCCACGCTCAGGAGTCGAGCCAAGGTCTTTTGTATGTGACCGTGGAACGCCTAGCCACTACACCACAGACGCCGGAGAGCCAGTCTGTCAAAAGTGTAAGAAAACAGTCGGAATTGTCTAAGACGGCCACCTTGTGTAGAGGAGATCAGTGGCCGTTTTAGACAGGTGGATGTCTTACACAGTGTGATTTTACCTTTTTTTAAAACATCACACACACACACACACTCACACACACACACACACACACACACACACACACACACACACACACACACACAGGTGATTGTCTTATGCAGGTAGCAGTTATTTCCTCTGTAGTTGAGAATGAGAGGCGTTAAGGAGGTTACACCATCCGTATCCCTTCAACGAATCACTTCGCTGATCTTTATTACTGGAGCTAGATCTATGTCTTCTTCTGTCATTGTTTTCGGTTTTCTTTAGTAAGAGTTTTATGGCACAAGCAACAGGCCAAACAAATTTCTACCTCAGAGTTACAAAGTTCTATCTGACATTTTTGGCCGTTTTGAGTTACTAAGACAATTAGGTCAGAAATTAAAGGCTCTATCAGCTACATCAAAATCGTAAGATTATTCTGGGTCGTTATCTTGATGTTCAAAGAATTGAACCCAAAAAAGCTTGAAATAATTATTATGAAACTCAAAATTTGTTATTACAAATTTTTCAAAACAATGAACAGATAGAAAATTTGTAATTTTGAGGGAGCGAAATGTTGAAAATTTTAGGTCTTACTAGAGAGTAACGCACAACGAAAAGAATGAAGAAAGATGAGGGCGATAGATATTTAACTAGATAGGAAAAGACTCAACCACACCAGATCACCCGCCAACCGTCCACTAACAATATTTCAGAGATTGGTTGCGGAATAAATCAGTCTATCTCCTGGGAGATTCGAACATGAAACGCATGTTCAACATCATGCAGACAGACTTCTGCACCACCACAGCAGCAGAAGACAGACCTTTCCCCAGCCCAGCGAACTGCTCCAACCCGGAACTCAACATAACAATTTACTTCGCTGCGCATGCGCACCCCTTCAACCTGCCCCATCCGGACCACTTCCGTGTGTTCAACAAGCCGCTCTCTCATTGGCTGGACGGGATCCGGGCAGAAGCAGACGTGGTGGTTATTCTCCATCTCTATCTTCACTTCTCACAGTTCAAGTAAGAGTTGTTGTGGGGGGGGGGGGGGGGTTGTGTTTGATTTATCTTAAAATTTAGTTGTTGTTGGTTTTTTTTATTGTGAAGGCATTGTTACGCCCCATCAAAACAATTCAGATCATTTAGGAGGCGGGCCTGTGGCCCTGCTGCCTGTCTCAGCCGACCAGGGATGGTGGGTGAGATACATCCCAGCAGAAAGACCGGGATACTCGATAAAAATTCTCCCCACTCGGGAATTGAACTCGGTTCCTGCCTTCTACAGCGAAGTGCCTAACCGTTTCTCTGTAGACTCCGGTCAAGTAAAAATGCTGTGGCTTATGTACTGCCTTGTAACATGCATTTACTAATAGCAGTCCCAGGTATATTGTGCGCTTGTTATTACCGGGTATCGAAAAAAAGGAATAATTTAAAGGGCAATAATTCAGTCATCTGTTCACCAATTCACAAGAAAAAACTTTGAAGAAATAAAATTTAATGGTGGGGGGGGGGGGGGGATTCATTTGTCATAATAAAACAAATCAATCACCAGGTTCGAAAAAAAATTCAAGTTTTTAAAAATTTAACCAAAATTGAATGAGACGCAGACTTTGTCAACTTCTTAAAAATCAATCGTACTGATATATTTCAAATAGTCTCTGTTTTGTTAAAATTAGTGCACTAATGACTAAGTTACTGCTCTTTATGTGAGTCTTCTTTTTAGATACCCTGTATTAAAACATGTTCATTGCAACATCCTAGTTAAAACTTAGAAGTTGCGAGCGCCATAACTAAACAAAACATAAAACTTAGAATCCCAAGTTTGAAGTGTAATTTATCAAGAATCGCCGTCATACATATAATCATGAGTATGTGTGTTTATGTGTGTATGTGTATTTGTGGGTGTGTGTTTGTACATGGGTGAGTGCTTGGGTGTGTATGTGTGTGTGTGTGAGTATGTGTGTATGTGTGTGTATGTGTGTGTGCGTGCGTGTGTGTGTGTGTGTGTGTGTGTGTGTGTGTGTGTGTGTGTGTGTGTGTGTGTGTGTGTGTGTGTGTGTGTGTGTGTGAAAAGTGGTGTGCGGAAGGGGGGCTTACATCGTAGTCTACTAAGGGTGAACAGAAGAAAAACAATAAAACTTTCACCCTCTCCTCTTCCCACATCTCCTCTCCGCCCTCTCTCTGCTTCTGCCCCCCCCCCCCTTCCTCGAACGTATATTTTCTTATTTTCCCTCTTCCTCCCCCCCCCCTCCTTTCTGGCTGTTTTCTCTCCTTATATTATGGAATTATATAAATTTTATAATGAATAAATAAATGGAAGTGTCTACGTTCTCTAAAAATCAAGAAGAGTAACAAGCAGTTGGTTTGAACTTCCGGATGAGGCTGGGGTACTTTTCAATCGTTCTTTTTTTAGTTGTTTTTTTTTTTTCAAATTCGTCTGCATCTTGTTTTGTCGTTGGATCTACACCATAGAGGTCAGCCAGTTCACTCGCTGGACTATATTGGGTTATTTCTATTTCACAGTTGGTCTGGATAAGAGGGGTTAGGTACAAGCGACTGAGGGTTTGATTTGAAGTAAGGTTTCTTGAAATCAAAACTGCCCTGAGGGTCATACACTAGATCTATCGTAGACCTAGTGTTGATATGACAGACTTGACCTTAACCCAAGTAATTTGATTTCATGACAGTGATGTCACATCACACACAAAATCGGTAATGTTTTTCCACACATTTGAATTTGATATCATTTATGATCTCTCACGTTGTATCGGATACCTTGGCTTTGAGGTGGGAATACGAAATCACATGTAAACTGCCAGCTATCTTCTAAAAATACTAATTACAGAAGGCCTGATCTTCAGTGACTTATTCAAATAGTTAGGGGGGAGGGGCATCAGAGTGCATCATACTTGTGTGAAAGTGTACAACATATTCTATTGTGAGCTGGGTGTCAAAGTTTAGTGAAAAGAGGGTGGGGGGGGGGAGAGTCATCTCGATGGGATGAAAGAATGTGTTGGTTGGTTGGTTGGGGTTTAACGTCGCTCTAAAGGCAAGATACTATAGACAGCTTTACTTTTGCAAGCGTTTTAATTTTGCGAGAAAGAACTCTGTCGCGAAAGTTTTAGCTTGTGAAAATAAAGTGGAAGCACTGTAGAAGCAGCATTGTCTGCTCGTTTCCATGTTAGACAGAGCGAGCGAGCTATTTTTAGGTTCTCTACTAGCATCAAAGATTCTCTTTGCAAACATTAGAGAACGTAGACAGCTTGTACACGTTCTCTAACGTTAGAGAACTTAAACATTACCTAAATAAATACTTTACTATTAATGAATAAAGAAATATATAAAGAAAAAAATGCCCAACTAATAAATTAATAACTGAAAGATACCCCACTCCCTTTCCGCCCACAGCCTAGAGGTGTTCAACCTCCACGCCCAGGACGCTCAGCGTGGCGTGGCGCGACTGCTCCGCCGGAACCCCCGGGCCCGTGTGGTGCTACGTGGTCCCCACGTGACCTACAAGGGCTGGCCGTCTCACGTGGCGGGAGGGGACCTGCTAGCGGAACACTTCCACCAGATTCTCCGTCGAGAGTTTACTGACGTCAGACATCGCGTCTGCTACCTCAACGCCTGGGACATGACGGTCGCCGTGGCCAATCTCAACTTTCATCCGGAAGAGTTCGTGCATCGTGCAATGCTGCAGGTTGTGTTTGCTCATTTTATTGGTCGAGGATAGAAACTAATAGATTAAGATAACATAAATTTGTAAAGCGCGAATTCTCGCTTAACAGCAAGATCTATGCGCTCTACAATCTATTATTAATGGCCCCAGCAGATCTGATAGCATTCTGAAAGAACCTCAACTTTCTGGGAAGTATACAGAGCAAGCATCCAATTTATAGGTGCTACAACACTAAGATACTGAAAAAGATCTTAAGCTGTCTATGGCCCGGTACCCGTTTCTCACCAGGACGAAATGAGGAAAGTTCGTGTGCAGTGCCTTTCCAAAGGATACGACATCGGGTCTCAGGCTCGAACC